TTTAAATTGGAAATTCTAAATAAGAAACTAAAAGTTTTCCCACTATCTTTTCTGGTTTTCACTTTGCGTTAAAATTCAGCAAAACACATGTTGGCTTCTAAAATTTTATTATACAGTAAAATACTGAAAATATTTTAAAAATATTCTATCGTTTCAATATTTTATTCTATACAAATACAATATTTGTGGTATAAAAATGGGATTTCCAGTTAGTCCGACCAATCAGTTTGATTCGAATCTATATTACACTTGGGGATGTTTGGGAAATTTCAATATGGGTATTGCCAATTGAAGAAAAAACACGAGTCTCTATATTCTTTCCGTTTCGATTATAGACAACGGACTCATGTTTAGAACTAGAATGGGATTTCTAATTGTATTTATAGTGGGATTATAGCGGAATTAGCAATTTTTTAGGAAAAATATAAGTATTCTAATCGGAATCTATGATGCGTCTGTGTATGTAGAAAAATTAAGTAAGCGAGAAAAATTTTGGAAAATTTCTATCCGCATAGGAATTTTTCTAATTAGAATCCAACTCGATTTCCCAAAAAATCACACGATTTGATTAGGAAATCTACAAAGATTAGAAATTTAATATTAAAAAAATGCGATTTTGAGTGGAAAATCCAAATAGATCTTATTTTCTCTATCGAATATTCTCTTAAAGCTTTCTTTCTATTTTAATTTCATATTTATATTGAACAATATATTTGAAATATTTTTAGTATTTATATATATTTTATAAATATTTAAAAAGCAGAAATATTCCAATTATATTTCTAATATTTTGTTCAACCTTTCTTGAATTAAATTATAAAAATGCCTTGATAATAAAACATTGTATATTATATTCTTACTTTACAAATGAAATCTTAATATCACAATAAACATTCAAATGTATTGTAATTATCTACAATCTTGATCTAATAACTTGATAATGTCATCGTATAAAATATTCTGTTGGCATTCTTATATTTAGATATTTTATTTAATCTAAATATAAAGTAGAAACCCGGACAGAAATTCAGGAAGCGTTAAACAGAGCAAATAGAATCTGTTTGGATTTCCCACTTACAATCGCAATTTCATTTTCAGGGTACATCGGAATAGATCCCAATTAGATTCCAGAAAATTTGCTATATTTAAGATAAGAATGAGATTTTCAATTGGTATCATAATATGATACCTATTTAGAACAAGTTAATCTAATTAGAATCTATGCAATTCTTGATAATGTTCGCGAAATTTTCATGCAGGATTAGAAATGTTTCAAACATGCAATTCTAAGTGGAAAACCCAAAACTTTCCCTATGTTTTTCTGATATTTATTTTACGTCAGAATTGAACAAAACATATGTTGATTTTTTAAAATAATTTTATTGTCTGAAAAGTTTAGTGTTTTAAAAATATATTCTTTTGTGTTTTATTCTATTAAATAGAATAATTAAGTTGATATAAAAATAAAATTCCCTAACATCACGAAAGTATTAACTTTTCATTACCGTCTGAAAAGAACATAAATTCATAGTTTTCCTCTTTCGAATCTGAATAAAGGATTGATATTTTGGACAGGAAAGAAATTCCCAATTATAGTAGTATAGTGTGCCATAACTATTTTTAGAACAAAAAATGCGACCAAGTTTAGTCTTATTTTTTGTAAGTTTGAAAATGATCATAATTTTGGTTTTTTTTTACAGTTTAATGCGAGTAGATTCCAAATATATAAATATCAAAGTGGCACTCCACACCGTTTCAGAAAAAAATGGTCCAAAAGAGTTTTACTTCCGAGAAATGGCGCCATAAGTCAATGCATATAAAAAATGGACAAATAAAATAAGAAAAATAAGATATTTTATTGATCATTGTTAATTTTTATAGTAATATCGCAGATGTTTTCGTTCGAAATTACAAAACCATGGTTGTGACCATAGCTAAGATACTAAATGATGGCATAGAGCGCCACCTTGATACTTACATATTTCGAATTTACTCGCAATAAGCTTTCAGAAAATACCAAAATTATGACCATTTTCAAACTTACAAAAAATGGAGCTAAATACTTATGGCGGTTTGGCCGCACTCTCTATTCTAAATATTTTTAGAATATCCTAGATCCTGATCTGATCAATTATACATAGGGTGAGCCATTTTAATCGACGGATCCAAATTGCTCCTAAAATACGCCAGCTACAAAAAAATAGTTAAGACAAGAATTGTAGAGGACAACGGGAGTCATTTTACCGTGCTAATAATGTTGACCTTCAGATCGATTTTCAAGGTCATTCGAAGGTCAAAGTAATTTTTTTAAATTAGAACCCCTATTTTTGACACCGGATTCGAAAAGAGCAGAAAATTTTACGTTAAAAATGATATTTAGATTTCTTTTTCTGAGTCAAAGAAGGTCAAATAAAAAATGATTAAAAATAATTTAGAAACTGTTAATGTTAATTTTAAAGATTTTTATGCATGATAAGTGTTTCGCGATACTAACAAATACTAATAGAAGAAAAGTTGTCATTCCATTTTCGAAATTGATGCGCAATAATCTCACTTTGATACGATTATTAGTAAGGCGTAATAAATAAAAATTTAAAAGTAAAAACAAACACTTTTAAAGTATTACTTTAAAAGTGTTTGTTTAAGTAAAGCCTTTAACAATTTTTCTCTTTTGAGTGCAGGGTAACTTGAAACATTTTTTTTAAATATGGCTGACTATCCTCCACGTCCACGTCGTTGTTTCCGGGTAACGCTAAAAGTATTGAATTAACATATTCCAAGTTCTTGATTTGACCTTCTTGGATTCAAAAAAAAAATCTAAATATCATTTTTAACGTAAAATGTTCTGCTCTTTTCGAATCCGGTGTCAAAAATAGGGGTTTTAATTTAAAAAAATGACTTTGACCTTCGAATGACCTTGAAAATTGATCTGAAGGTCAAAATTATTAGCACGGTAAAATGACCCCCGTTGTCCTCTACAATTCTTGTCTTAACCATTTTTTTATAGCTGGCGTATTTTAGGAGCAAAATGGCTCACCCTGTATATCTGATCTGAATCTATGTTGTTTCTGGGAAAACCTTGGCAAATCTTTACGCCGGTAACGGTTGTTTCTCTTAACTAACTTAAGCCTATGAACCTCGATTCGTGTCGAGCCGCGCGGACAGATTTTGAATTCAAAATGGAAATAATTCCACGATAGCGTTTTATCATCGACGGAGGGATAACCGGGGAAGTGGTAAGGGAGCGTCAGGGAAAAATTCCTCCCGTAAGCCCGACTAACTATATTTCCCCACTCTAACCTTTCAACGTCAGCCCTGCGCATCTCCGTATACCTCTTCGTCAAAGAAATAACTCCCGGTACACCTTGTACGGTGTCAACGTGGTTAAAAATACAGCCGCATCTATATACGTACGTGGTCGCGCATCCTCCGCAGACACATCGACGCGTACCACGGCATTTCTTACAGCGGGAAGTCTCTTCTACCCGGTGCTTCTTATGTTCCGCTATCGCGCGCCGGGTAATGCAAGCTCCCTCGGAGTGACATTGCTTTGGTGACAAGCGCCTTTAAGAGTTTAGACGCGCGTCACCTTAAGCAAATGCAGATCGGAGCAACGACGCGCGACGAAGTGCCTCGGATCTGGCAGAGAGCTGGCGGAAATGTCGACTAGCGATAGAAGCGGAGCGGGGTAATTGGGAGCATCGCAGCGGGGGTCCTGTAAAACGGGACGATGCTTTCGCCATAGAGGAGCCTGGCTGCCCCTGAGATTGAAGGAGCGATACGCATTCATATGTGAGATCGTGTTTACGGTACATTTGTTCTTGTCCGCGAGCGACAGGATCGGAGAGATAACGAATTCGCGGACGAGGCATAAAATTCTGAAAGAGGGATTTCAAGAAAAAGAAAAATTCGAAACTAAATAGGATATAGCGGCTTTAAATGGGAACTGTAGATTAAGTTAAATTAAAAGAGATCGATCCGACTGTTCAAAGTATCATAAATGGAAAATACAAGAAACTTTTAGGAACCATGTATGATTTGCTTCTAGAAGCCTAAAGACCTTGTATTTCTAAAATTAAATAAAAAAATTAAACAGGTATTTAAGTACAAGCATTGAAAAAATTGTCCAAATGTGTTATTTTAAAACATATACGCGTGCAATTTAGCTAAAGCTCTTTTCACACGTTTCTTACTTGATTTTAAATCACACTGTTTAATATGTTTCAAACGTGTAAATTATAATTTAATATGTTGAACGTGTTAAATGGTGACTTAAAACGATAAGAAACGTGTAAAAAGAAATAAATTATTAAAAATTATTAAATTATTAAAAAATAAATTATTAAAAATTTATTTTAAATGCATAATGAACAATTTGTTACTATTTCAAAATATTTTGCATTGTATTATAAAATTATTTTAAGAATTTATAAGCTTTTCTGCTTAAAAAAAAAGTTAATAGTAATTTCCAAACATAAATGTAATATTTTCATATTTTATATAAAAAAATAAAACGTGTTCGCAAGAAGTTGAAAAAGCATAAAATCTTCCGGTCGTTCCTTCCTGATAAAGCGGACTAAAATGTTCGCGAAACGTCAGAATCAGACAAAGAAGAATCCACGCGGCTCAAACTCGGAAACTAAATCTAATAGCATAAAAATTTCTTTTGCTCTACTTTCTATATATACTCGATAATAGAGACATCTTATACACTGTAAAATTGTTCAATAATATTAGGTAAATTTTAATCAAACTGTTTATTTTTTATGATATTAAATGACATTGTTGGAAAATTATATAAATTGCATTGATTGTAACATAACATTGACAGCCAAAATAACGTGTTTGGATTTGCAATAATGTCACTCGAGTTCCGCGCAGCTCAAGTACCGTGTTACTCTAAGAATGTCTACATACGCGTGCTTCTTTCTCGCTGAGAATATTATGAATTAATGAGGAAAGGAGTTCACTCACCATAAGCGCGTGATTAATTTGTGCAGATGCGGGAGATCGATCATACCGCACGGGATCCGACACGGAAGGCGCAGCAACCACGGACAACCCGACGACGCCATTTCCTACGCCGCCCCCAACCTTGACACCGAATCATCGGCAAGCTTCTCCGTTTCCCCTCGAAAGCACAAATTCTCGCCGGCATCATTATAACGGCAGCGTATCTTCCGAGAGATCTCGCAACGGCAATGGTAAGGGAGTTAATTAGATCTACGAAAGGGTTCGTTTGCACGCAAGATGATACTTATGGACTCTCGCTGTAAGATGAATTTCATCGGACGCAATTTTATGCCGCGCATAACCGCACGACCGTACGATCGTGCAAGTGTGCGTGCGACATGAGCAAATTAAGAAATTCCAGTGAACGAATGATTTAAAGTAAAAAATGACATATTATCGCGCGTAATTGCTACACCGTAAAAAATCGGTAAAAAACATTTTGTATATTTATGTTGAAATCGATCCGCGTGTAGGAACGAGGAACTTTTGTGTTAGATTTTTAGCATACTCGTGTATTAATTTATACATATTGTCGTTGTGTTTTGACTCTTCTGCGTTGAGTTCATATTCACCATTTTTCAGTGTTAAAATAACGCGATTTATATGTAACATGTGTATTCCTGGTGACGCATATATTTTATATGTATAAAGTGTACAGAGAAGTAGTGTTATTTGTTAACATATTTATTTGTCTTGTTTGTTAAAGTAACACAAAAATTAGAGTGGTTAAATTGGGACATATGAAATGTGTTAAATTTATACAAAATTGTCAGCTATGTACGACTGTTTCAACTCGTTCTGATGCGATATTTCATCGGGTTTCACGTTCAATTCGTTTCAACCCTTACAGTCACGCGGTTTTTTGGCCTATTTTTACAACGGTCTTTGAATTAGAGCTTTTTCATATATGTTAAAGGAAAGACTAGTAAAAAATATGACACTCCCATCGCACCACTATAGTACTGCAAAGTGAAATGGGTTGTAACAACATGCTCGAAGCATATATTAAAGCATGTCTCCACTTTTGACACTTTCAAAACTGGTAAATTAAGTTAATACATATATATGTGTTAAAAGAACATACTTATTATGTGTGTGTTAAATATAACGATTTGTATATGTGTTAAGGTGTATCAAAAGTAATACATTTTAAGTGTGTTATGAAGGTGATGAACGAAAGTAATACCTTGATGAGAGAAGGCACGTCCTGGTGAAAGAAAATAAAATGTAAAACGACCGTTAACAAAGTATAAATTGGAAAGTAAATCTCTAGTGTAAGAGGAGAATGACGAAAGCGTAAGCAAAACTTCTACAAGGCGTAAATTGAAACATCGGAACGTAAAGAAAGCAACTATTAAGCGTTAGAAAAGCGTTAACGGAACATTGTCAAACTCTTCGACAAGCGTGAACAAAATATTCTCGAATGTAAACGAAGCATCGCCGAGCTTCTTAAGGAGCGTAAACGAAGTTCCCTGGCGAACATGAATGAAATGTCGCTGAGCTGCTCGGCAAACATGAATGAAGAGTAATAGAAAGTTATTATTGAAGCGATCCGACATTGATTCCATGACATTTACCCGATATCAGTAAAAGGAATTACATTCAGATATCGAATTAGAAAACTTTTTTATTGAAATTGTTTCTTGAAAGTGTAGAAAGTGATGATTTTAGCTGAAATTATTGTCACTTAATTTATTGAATGTAATATCGTACTTGGAAGACACGCTTTCTTGATGAAATTCGAACTTGAATCGCTTTGGAACATTTGTCTCTCAATTAATAAAGTGGCATAGTGAATGAGACAGGAGACTAATTGAAATTCAAATTCTACTAAGGTAAGCACGTTTTCCACAAGTGCGAGATATTTCATTTAATAAATTAAATTATTATAATGTCAGATATAAATCATCACTCTATAATATATGATAGATACACGTGGTCTTTTAACATATATATGTATTAATTTAAACGTGTGTTAATGAGATTACGCTGCAAATTTCAATGTGTTGATATATGTTAATTTGACTCATTTTATCTGTATAATCAGTGACATAATTTGAGATATTTATTTTAGTATAGGATATTTAATATATTTATTATTAATTATTAATTAATTATTATTTATGAAAAATATAATTATTTGTGAAAAATATACATATAAAATAGAAATTTCTATTAAAACTTAAATTCTAAATGCAATCTTTTGATCAAAATATATTGCACATAAGATTTAATTACTGTAATATTGAAAGATAACGATTGAAACATAAAATGTTTGAAACATAATTTTTGAAACATAACGACTTCCGTTTTATAAATGTTCATAGAATGATAGTGGACCATTTTACCCAAAATATTAGTAAAAGACGGCCATAGTATTTATAAACAAATAGCGAAAACGAAAATAAAAACTGCATATTATATTAAAATTTATATGCCTACTTTATGTATCTAATGTTAATTGCGACAACTTAATTGTAATTTATTCAACAGCAAGTTTTAGTGGACACATGAGAAATTTTACATCTACACAGAGAGAACGATTCCATTGAATCAAATAAACACTTCTTTGGAATAGTCCAAGCGAATTTTTTGATTGATCGAACAAAATTTTATTTGACGCAACAAAAATATTTATTTGCGGCTTAGTTCTAAAGAAATATTTTTATTGTGTCAACCAAATAATTTTTTTGGACTATTCCAACGAAATTTATTTGATTCAATAAATCGTTCTCTCTGTGTAGTCGAAAATAAAAATACAGTATAATATTCATAATCTTGCTATTTCAAAAAATGTACGCACATACATACGATAAATATCGATTATCTTTGTGACTGATTACACAAACGCTATATTTTGCAATTATTAGAGAAATTACAGCCTATGGCCATCTTTTCCGATATGGCTATAACACTCGAGTTTATCCTACATAAATTTCAAAGTGTATTATTATTATTATTATTAGAGTAAAACATTAAAAAAATTTGTATTTAGTTTTTTTTATGAATTTTTGAAGAAATTTTTTAAGTTTTTCAAATTTTTTTCTTAATTAACTTGTATGGAGAAAATGGATAATAATAACAATAAATGCAGTTGTATTTCACAAAATTGCTGCCGCGCCACTATAGTGGTTTTATTGTGAGGGTTAAACTACACTACCGCGCGCACACACACACGTACCGTCCTCGGTCACTGAAAAGAAAATCGTCACGCGTGTAATTTGCATCCAGATATTAAAGTGATTCCGGGACGCGCCGCAGAAGTGTTACTCGGTGAAAAACTCTGAAGCAAACTTACGTGAAAATGTTTCATTTAACCTTACAAACAGTTCCTCCTTTCTCCGAAAGCAATTCTGAAGGATTTTAAAAGGTTCGAGAATTTTCTTTGTCCACGCGCTAATGGAAAATTGAATTATGCGGCGCGCGCTCTCGCTCTCGCTCTCGCGCTCGTTAGCGGAACTTGCCGGGCGCGCCTTCCAAAAGAACCAACTTCCCGCCCAGTTTACACAAAGATATTCGTATTTTTTTCATTGCAGGTGAGACCGTTTACGCGTCCACAAAGAAGGCGACTTCCGCCGGCGGTACCTTAGGTCGAAGAATACGCCGAGGTCATGCAAGCGCTTTGAGCAGTAGCTCCACCGCGAGCGATCGTTCCGAAACTGTCTTCCCCGATGAACACACTCGCATGCATCTCAACAATGGTAAGCGGACGGTTTTCTTTCGAGAGAGCGCGCGCGCGCACACCGCATTATTTCATTAGCATGCGTCATCATCGCGCATCACGCGCACCGTTCGTTCACATATCACCGCTTGATAATGATCACTGCAACACGGCACGATAATCCCGATATATGCGCGAGTCGACAGACGAAATTGGCGCCATTGAAGATTTTGACAAAGAGATCCATTGAGCGCGACGGATCCGGGGATAAATCCCCGTCGATCGCCCTGAGCGGCTCGACCCTTTAAATCACGACGTAAAATTTGCCGTGGTGCGATAAGTTAACGATCCATGCCTCAAATGCGATTACCGGACTAACCGAGTTACTGGCTGGTATCGAGCTTCTGGCCGAAGTTAAATCGGGTTTCGCGCAAACCTGTCCCTCGTTAAAAGCTTAATATTAATCGTCACCTAGAAACGTGGGTGAAAGAAAGAAAGTAGATTACGTGTATAAAACCCGGCGCTTGTAGATAATTGCAAATATAGTTCATCGCGACTTTCATGCATCGCGCCAGTGCTATCGATTATACAAGAGGCGATCGTCTCGGGCGTAGAAACTTTCCTAAATTTCCTCAGGCCGAATATAGAACATTCATATTTATCCCAAAATTTGTTATCCTATTACGATATCAACTGTTGATCTCATTTTTAATCCAAATATAGGTTTTCTGTTTACAATCAAAACGCACGAAAAAACTATAAAAATTCGCGTTTTCTCTTTCAATCGTTAACGCCGGTATACTTTTACGATGGAATCATAACAGGGAATCTCATTTTTACATACTAACTATTGCATTCAATGAAATAACAGATTAACAAGTAAAATATCTTTAAAACATTTTACTGAATAGTGAAATTATTTGAAAAGTCAACACGTAATTTGTTCAATTCTAATATAAAATGAAGATCCGAAAAATATTAGGAAAACTTTAGGTTCTTCATTCAGAATGTGTAGTTGAAATATTACATTTCTAACCTCCTACGAAAATTTCTCAAGTATTCCCAAGTATAGCATAGATTCCGATCAAGTTATTTAAACTTGTTTCAAATAGGTTTATCGTACTGTGATACCAATTAGGAATTTCATTCCCAATATTATTCTTTATTTCTTCCTTATTATTCCTTATACTAACTATAGGACATTCCTCACGATCTAATCGAAATCTATTCTGAATTTCCAAATAATTAAAGTTGCGATTCAAAGTGAAAAACTCAAAAACAGCAGACAAATTGTATAGAAAGAGTAAAATAAAAAGAAGAGACATAAATAATAACAAAGCAATAATTTGTACTTTCAATAATAATTTATACAAATATATATAAGACCTGTTTTTTTTTTAAATATAGGCTTTTGTATGGTCATTATTAATTTATTTTCCGACTATTAATTGTAAATAATTATTATATACTTGAATGTTTATTGTGATGCTAAAATTTTATATTTGAAATAAATATAAAAATAACAAAATAAAAAAGAACTCTTTTGAAACTAATCAGAAATAAAATAGGGCCTATAGGAGTTCAAGCACAGGTGTTCTAGTACTGTACCAACTAACAATAATATTAGTGGATATCCTCCATAAGGAGGAAATTTATTAATTAAGCATATATAATCAAAAATTACTATACGCGTTTTGGTCTAATTCGCAGACTCTCCTCAGTGGAATTTAAATAGTCATAAAAGTGATAAAATACAAAGTTTTCCCAATCTTCATTTATTTTATATTAGAATTGAACAAAACACGTTGACTTATTAAATTATTTCATTATATTCAGTAAAATAACTGCGTAAAAAGTTTTCTGGGACCAAATTGGAATTTATTTCAATTTTCCAGAAAAAATAATGGGTTTTGATTAGTGGAGTTTGAATATACGGAAATTCGGGTTAAAAGTGTAAATTAAAAAAAATGCGATTTTAAATACAAAACCCAAACAAATTTCTTGTTTTTTTTTATCAAAAGTTTTTTAAAGTATTCTTTACTTCGCGATTTCTATTTCATATATATTTTTTATTCAAATCTTTCTATTTCATAAATACTTTTAATCAGAATTTCCGTATATTTAAACTTCACTAATCAAAACCCATTATTTTTTCTGGAAAATTGAAATGAATTCCAATTTGATTCCAGAAAACTTTTTACGCGGTTATTTTACTGAATATAATGAAATTATTTAATAAGTCAACGTGTTTTGTTCAATTCTAATGTAAAATAAATGAAGATTAAAAAAACTTTATATTTTTCTCCTTGTATTTTATTTAGAACCACATACAGAGAAAAATATTTCGGTTGAATTATCGTAACAATAAATCAAAACAAACACTTTTTGGTTGAAGGAAAAAAATTTCTAGTTTTTACCACCGAATTTAGTTTCTAAGAGTCAGAAGCTCTTTTTCCTTCAAACAAACTACGTTTGTCTCATTCATTGTCGCATTAATTAAACCGACTCTTATTCCCCGTGTATGTGTGAAACGCAACATTTCTAATTAGAACCCATAATTATTTTAGGAAAGCAAACTGAATCCAATTAGATCTTAAGAAATTTTCTATGCGGGTTGTGAAGTAAAGGAAGACTCATACGGAAGCACTCACAGTCTCATCCCTCCATTTCTACATTCAACAAGACTCTACATACAAGACGTTGTTATTATTACCGCAATGAGCTTTCATCGAGAACTATATTCCAACAATAACTTTGAATTGCCCGAGAAAACACATCGCACTATCTCTCTCCCGACCTTGTTAAATCCCGTTCGGGGGCAACGATTAAGCGTACGCAGTGGTGATTCCAACTGCTACAAATGTTCTCATTACGAGCATCTCTCCCTCGTCTTGCGCTCGCGGAACCGACGTGGCAGCGGGACGAAGCTTCGCGAAATGGTCAAAGGCGAAGGATCTTGGCAAAGGCAGACATTTCCAAGGCGCGTATTATCGTCCGGTGAACAGTACCATAATCGACAAACCACATTACACGTCGGCTCGTTAAATAACTAAAGGACTTTCTATTTTGGCAGTTTAGTTCATTGTTATCCAATGCAGTAACATAATAGTTGCAACACTAGTAGAATGTCGATAGATAACTGTAACAATGGTAACATTAGTACACGGAAAAAAGAGATGTGGTGCACCTAACAAAAAATATTTAGTTGTAAGCAAATAGCTGCATCATTCTACATATCTTTGTATGATAGTTATGTGTATGGTTGATTTGACTTACTTTGGTTCAACTATATCAATGAAGTTGCGCGTGATCTGGTTGTGGCAACCAGAAATTAGTAAGGGGATCATTTTGCATAGACAAGCTAAATATCGATATAGTTGCATTAATCAATGTTATATTGCAAAGCAGCGATGTTAGAAAACAAAAGCAATTCACTACGCGCACAGCTAGAGATGTATACATGTGAAAACTGGTTCTGAGTGTATAAATATACATTTGTAGCTGCCGCGTAATGAACCGCGTTTGTATTAACCATATATTATCACTGCTGCAACATAAGTAACTCAGCCATTGCTCTTGGATTACAGCAACCACATAAATAGTTGTTTCGTATTTTACTATTGAAACTGGTTGGCACAACCAGATTTCTGTATAGATCAACCATATTGTTTTTTCCGTGTATTATTTCAAGTCACGTCATTTGACACGTTTAAGACGTGAATTATAATTTAAGTTAAATTATAATTTAATACATTTAAACGTATTAAATGGCGTGACTTAAAACAGTAAGAAATATATAAAGAAAGGATTCAGCCAATTCAAAATAACATATTTGAGTTCGTACTGTAGCAGTGATTTGCATCTGTTTTCAGTTTTGTGATTTTTACAATATTTTATATAATATGCTCTTTTTATTTCAATTCAATCAATTCTCATTTTAATGAAAATAATTACTTATTTTGAGTGTATATAAAATTAAAATTGCAGATTAATATTTGCATTCTTTGTACAATTTACTTCCATAAAAACTCCGATTTATGAATTCTGAATTATGATTTATAATTACTTAACAATGTAAAAGTCATTTCACATGTTAAGCTGTTGAAATGTGTAAATAAAGAATAGACGCGTGTTTGTAATAACAACGTTTGTCGCAAACGTTTAATAACGAAGTGCGTTATCTTGTTAAACATCTCCAAGATGTGTTCTCATCATTACGTGTAAGATAATAAAATAAAATAAATAAGATAATAAAATAATAGTTGTTCCGTATTTTACTATTGAATCTGGTTGGCACAACCAGATTTCTGTATGGATCAACCATATTGTTTTTTCCGTGTATTATTTCAAGTCACGTCATTTGACACGTTTAAGACGTGAATTATAATTTAAGTTAAATTATAATTTAATACATTTAAACGTATTAAATGGCGTGACTTAAAACAGTAAGAAATATATAAAGAAAGGATTCAGCCAATTCAAAATAACATATTTGAGTTCGTACTGTAGCAGTGATTTGCATCTGTTTTCAGTTTTGTGATTTTTACAATATTTTATATAATATGCTCTTTTTATTTCAATACAATCAATTCTCATTTTAATGAAAATAATTACTTATTTTGAGTGTATGTAAAATTAAAATTGCAGATTAATATTTGCATTCTTTGTACAATTTACTTCCATAAAAACTCCGATTTATGAATTCTGAATTATGATTTATAATTACTTAACAATGTAAAAGTCATTTCACATGTTAAGCTGTTGAAATGTGTAAATAAAGAATAGACGCGTGTTTGTAATAACAACGTTTATCGCAAACGTTTAATAACGAAGTGCGTTATCTTGTTAAACATCTCCAAGATGTGTTCTCATCATTACGTGTAAGATAATAAAATAAAATAAATAAGATAATAAAATAATAGTTGTTCCGTATTTTACTATTGAATCTGGTTGGCACAACCAGATTTCTGTATGGATCAACCATATTGTTTTTTCCGTGTATTATTTCAAGTCACGTCATTTGACACGTTTAAGACGTGA